GAGTTTTAAGTAACTGAACGTACTATATGTTTATTTTCAATGTAAATCATTTACATTACAGGTATATACGACCTTAAAGCATACTAGGTGTAGGGACTAGTGATTACAACTGGGTTATGAGGTTAGCTAACTCATATATCGAATGTGCGACCTACTGGATTATATCCTAGTTCACCCACTCCCAAAAAGCCCGAATTTATATATTTGAACACAGACATGGTAAATAGGGGCATCAAATACATATGAGCCACACAATAACAATGAGGCCAGTAGTAGTTATCATTGATGTGTGAGAGGGCCAGAGAGCCCAAACCGAAACAGTGGTTTTCTTTTTAATCTAGAAGTCAAATCCACAAGGCACTGGAGCAACGTAAGGAGATGCAGACCCATGGCGGCCCGTCACGAACAGTAGGTTTGTACACAATTGGTTCTCTAAAGATCACGGAGCCTATGTACACCAATTGGTTTGGATTCAGGGTTTTCCAACTCACCTAGGTAGATCCCTCATATCCACCAACCTGGTTATAGTGCCGGAAATTAGTTTTCCTTCTTCTTAATTTCGTGAAAAACATCCCCGACGCAAGAAGTCACTGAGTAGGACTTCTGTGGCAGTGGCTGTACACGTGTGGCTACGTGAGAGCGCACTCTCCCCACCCTTGAACTCACCAGGGCATTTGAGGGTTCCAAACTTAGGTAGATATAAAACCCAATCTATTTCGGTCTCAGGTCATTTCGTTAAGTGAGCTGGAATATCGAGAAAATCAATAATCCAAAAGTATGATAACTGAATTTGGAAAATTTTCGAATTCACGGTATTCTAGAACGTCGTTGATCATTACAGCTGCATGATAGCTAAAAACTGAACATTTTACTCCCATGTACAGTGTGAAAGACAATTTGTAGTGTTAATGGAACCACTTAAATGCGAGTTTACCTGAGTGGGCGTTCATGACTGACAAGCGGTAACTATTGTCTTATCAAACTAAAATTCATAAATACGCTTATAGCATTAAGAAAAGCCTAACCAGCATCACTATTGACCTGCCCTTAGTTAAAGCTCATATCTACAAGTCCAACCTGACAAACCATTGAAAGCGATAACTTTCCTTTTAACAAACCCGATAATCGATTCGCGATAACCTGTTTCATAATGGGGGATCCTGAAAACACTAATACAGGACCAACTATACTAACTAAAAACAAAGAAAGCACCACTTGACAAAAATAATGGTAAGTTTGGTAAATCTTGTTTATTGATAGAAAACAGCATACCAGCTCAATAGACTCATTACGTAGCTCTTAGGGTACATGCGAATTTCACATAATTTCAGTTAGGAATAATACTAACAACGAATTTCTCAACTATGATCAACACAAGTATTTAATGTTTAAACAACTCGGTTCTTTTCTCTCAATAAGTCAATTTATCCTCCTTTAGTAATTTATTTTTCTTATCTAAACTATTTCGAACATTTCATATTTGTTCCAAAAGTGGTGCAACTGTTAGCTTTTTAAAACTTAATTCGAAATTAAATAAATCAGATGACATCATCTAGTGAGACTTATTGATTCGAAATCACATGAGTGGTACTGGAATCTTTTCTTAAACCACGAGTGATATTAACTACTTTACAGTTTTCTTGATACACGAATTCTCATAGTAATATGATGTGTATTGTCCCAGGGAAGAAAAATGGAAATATCTCTACTATCTAATTGTTTAAGTCGAATAATTATACTAAATTATATTCAAGTTTCCTGCTTTTCATTTACCCATTAGCAAAACGCTGCAATTATCCCGAGGTTTGTCGCAATAACGCTAACTCAAACCATTAATGTTACAGTGGAATCTAGAGAAACTAAGATTATTGTTATAATATACATCGACTGTTGTCATCACGATACACTAGTCAAATAGTTAAATTAGTTGGTTAAGTGAGGAAAACTGCTACGAGTAGTCTTAGCACGTGACCTCAAGCTATGTTATAATCTTTCACTGTTTTCGCTACATTCGTGTCATTTAGACCCAATAAATCGGTATCACTGGCAAATGTAGTCTGTTAATTTCGATGGTAAAGCTGTGAACTCTAGTACGCAGATGTGATCACAATAAAAATTACGTGTGCTCGGTAGGTCATCCTACTGTGAAAGGTTAGCTAGTGTATGATTTTAACGCAACAAACACTGTTCCACGAAGTGATTGACCAATCGATGCATACGATCCTTACAGCTCGCCTAGTTACGACGACTGACTATGACCACTTTAGATTGGACGGCACGGAACACGTAGCGTTCCTACAGACTTCTACATACACCTTTTAATTTACTGCCAGTGATGAGATTGGAATAATCTCTTTTAATAACGCTGGTCCGAAGTGTAGCAACTTTGAACAGTATGTATTCATTTGAAGCCCTAATTTATCCGTAGCATATTTTACAACATACGTGGATGCAGACATTAGTGAATTCTTAATTCATTATCACTAATGATACTGTCTAAGGCGTTATTTGAATCAGTTTTAACCGTCAACATTGTTGAGAGCAGTAATCTTTGCGTTTGGAATACATCCCTTACGCCAAACTTTGAGATGTTTATTGCTGCTAGAACAAAAAAGCACCTTAAGTAAACAAACTCTGTCAATAAAGCATTGGTAATCTCTTAGCTACTGGTAACTGCTAAATAGGAGGGGGAAACGTATAATTTTTATACAAATGTTGAACAAAACTTAAAGATGACTGTTTGATGAAAGATACTCGTTAGGAAATTCTTAATGCTGTAGAACTTACGTACCCCTTTAGCTAGCAAAAGCGTTTCGTAACTTACAATATAAACAAGATACACCGCGGTCCACATCACAGAGATTCATGTACCTTATAAACAATTAAATATTAATTACACACAAATTAAACACATAACAGAAATATAGTATCAAAAAAGTAACTAATGTGTTAATGGCAGTTATTTGGACCAAGCGACATGACAAAATATAATCATAGGAAATGAACCTCGCCTATCGTACAGACAAGTGAACAATTACTATATTAAAATACATCGTACTAAATATTCAATTGATTTACTCCGTAAATCATTTGCGACCTTAACTTAATTTTCTAGTGCCAATAACAAAATGAAATCAACGGAATGGAATCTTAATAAATCACTAAAACAGCAACAAAATCCCAATGCGGCAGCAACCAATTGACCTAGGAAGTTGTTAAAATAGTTACAAACTATTTACAACGCACTGATTTAACAGATTGTTAACACTTTTGAAGTACATACCTTAATATATTTACACTAAACTAAACACTGTATATCCTCAGAAATCTTATTTTTGGAACCCATGGAATATTAGACGCGATTAACTACCCCATATCGTTATGATGAACAAGTTTAGGTTTTAAAAAATGAGATGAAGTTGAAATACTTATACTTTCATCGAGGTCCCTTCAAGTCATTTACAAAGTAATGCATAGCGATTTCAACCTTTATGTGATTATTTCCTGATATAAAGCAACTCAGTCGTTAAATCATTGTTACCTTTATGAGAAATTCAATAAGTGGATATCTTTCAATTTTCTTAGACAGAAATTACTCTGGTTAGAATAAGCTTATGACACTTGCGTATACATTAAAAACAAACGGAAAAACCGTTACAACTGGCAATGAGGTAAAACAAGGTCCACGAAACAAAGTGAACATGCAATACCAAACAACCATGCTAAAACCGACTAGAAATAGTCATGTTACTAAATATTGGACAGGAACTGTCCACAATAGAGATTTATGGAACAAACAAATATAACCCTCTTTTAACAATAAAAAACTCATCAACAGTTACTGATTATTCTAAAATCGTAAACCAAATTCAGATTGAGATATGATTTCATGTAATACCTATCAATTCGGAAACGTGATCCTAAATGTGAAGCTGTGTTGGTGGTGACCGCTTGAAATGGAATTAAAACATTGTAACTATCAGTTATATTTCAAGGAGGAACATATAATTCTGATTGAATGAAAATAATTCGCATGAATCGCGCTACGTAGATATAGCCCCATTTAACAACAAAATAGCTTCGAATAACATCTATTTAACTAATTGTTTAGCGAGTGTTATCTACTGAATTAATAAGTTTTCAGCAAAGCATTAACGTGACAATAAATAGATATCTATAGAATATTTTTAGCCTGATAATGAGACCTACTTGATGAGACATGACAGTTGAAATGAACTATTTGGAAAAGCTTTGACAAAATTATTTGTTAACTGTTTTAAGTTTCATTGACTAATAAAATCACTACTTAGCTCCCAGGAATAGATAAACCAATTTAAAAAGAATCTTGTAATGGTGAAACAAATATTAGGATTTTAGAGAAGTAAGATATAAGTGAGCAAACTGATTTCATTTATGAACTTATTTCAGGAAGGATTATAGTGCACATTTCAACAGTTAAAATGTTATTCATTCTTTTTTTTTCAATAATGCAGTAATCAGACATAATATCAAGAGGAAAATAGTACAGTTTCTTTTAGGGGATAGAAAAACAAAGAAGTATGCATATACACCAATAACGTCATGGCACAGTAACAAACTCAATCATTGGAATGCAAAGAGCAAGGGAAAGTAAAATTTAAGAGGAAAAAAGGAAAACCATTCTCACCACAAACATCTGATGAGTAAAATAACTAAAGATGTTTAAAAGAATAAATCGTAATAATGTAAGACGAAAAGAATGAACGTGAATAATTACCTCGTGAGATGGTAAAGCGAGGAAACGTATGTGTGTGGAAGGGTAAAGTTAATCAAGGAAACGTGTGAAAATGACAAGATGACATGCGTATACATATGTATATATTTATATATATAAATCAGGCTTTCCTACAAGTCACTGTCAACAAGTGTCTTAACGTGTACGAAGTTTTTTTGGCGACGATAATTCACTTCTTCTAGTGGAGATACCAGGAATGATAATGTTTTGTATAAACTACTTCGGGTTACTTTGTCGTCATCATCGTAACAAATTCTGAAAATAGGAATAGGCAATTATAACACAGAACATCCCCAAAGTTGACATCTACCACAAAACTACCACGTACTACATTTTTCCCAAACAAAATACGTAAACCAATGAACGGATTATATTCAGTTGGAAAAATAAACAAATACGACATATGCATGCATTACCATTTGTAAAAAAATCGAAGGATGAGATAATATAGTGTGACAGGAAGGGATTTCTCAAATTACTTTCTACTTAAATAACATTGCATACTAAAGTTAAGCCGACCTAGTTAGTGTGAATTACTGTCACTACAAGGATAAACCGTTAACGCTCAACTTGAATCATCGAAAGACCCTTAAATCTTCCTGTAAAACGATGTAGTACATAACGCGAAAAACTTTCATTTTACTACCTTTTGAAGTTACAATAATTACCTCTAGCTTTATCGGAAAATGAAAAATACGAATCAAAATTTCTATATTCGACATAAAAATTTTTAGATGATTTATTTAGAAACTCCAAATACCTATATAATATCCCAAGCGAACGAAAGAATCGTGAAAACGTATAGCACAAACAATAATTACTGTCTACGGAAAAATCTTAACATAGATTGATTTCAACATCACATAGAAAGCCTAAACAAATAAGGCTTATATATATATATGCAAAAAGTGAGCAGTAAGGGCTTTATTGTTGTTTTAAGTAAGTGGGGGGCATACATTTTGAAATTTCTGGGGAAAAAACAGACAAAAAATAGCCCAGAGCATTAAAAACCAGGAAAACTCAAACAGTATAATCAGTTACGTAGTTTGTAAACAAAACATGCGTATACAATGGGCGACTCAACACGCCAATCACAAAATTGCTTTACAGACATTCTTTTGCTCAAAATGAGCATTCAGCTGAAAGTGTGATGAGAATGTTTAGTTTTGATGTATTATTTTAGTATTCTTATTTCGCTGTCATCATTTTCACGAATTCTGTTGATGTAGTTCACAGAAGTAGATAAATTTTGGGATGATAGCAGATAGGACAAAGGCATCACATGCGAATACCATCAGATAAGTCGGATGAGGTGAACATGAAAACGCACCGCAGATGTATAGAGTAAAAAAGACAACAATGAAATTGCAAAATTTTAACAACAAATATATATATGTATATAAATATATATACGATGCACAACATAAATAAACACCTATGAAATACGTGGAACATAAACAAACTACTAACAATACCAAATAACTACATTAAGACGTAAAAACAACTAAATCTACAAGAATCCGACCACTAAATTAAAAAAAAGACAAATTATACTGAATTTACCTTCATAATTTACTTGACCATCACCATCTATATCAGCTTCACGTATCATTTCATCGACCTCATCATCAGTTAACTTTTCGCCCAAGTTAGTCATGACATGTCTGTAGAAAATGTATGAGGGCACACAATAGGGATAGCATTTTTAGAAGATATTATACATATAAGTTCTCGGAAAACTAATTGAAAAAGTAAAAATATTTTGCTTAAGTATAGATACTTGATATTTTCTTCAGGATGCCGAGTTTTATTCCGTAATACTTCGCCCTTTTTCCAGGAGCTGTTTAGTTACTGTTGCATATGATAAATATACATAGATGTGGTTTAGGCCACGGAGTGAGAATAGTTGGGGTGTAGTAGAAACTAAGTCCAAAACTCTTTAGGTCACCTGTTTTTAAACCTTTCAAATATTTTGTTAATCACCTAATGTACTCAAGAGTTCCCGCTGAAAACTTAACAGATAATTAAGGTCAAATTTTAGCAAAATCATTACGGCGAGGTATGTTTGTCTGCTCGCGTGTTCATTAGAGAAGTATAAGATGGTCGAATTGAAATCGATGCCTCAAATGTATTACGAAGTAAGAAAAGGTATCAAATCTGTATAGGGATAAAGATGCATAGTAGGTAATCCCTATTGAGAAGTGTTTCCATATGTAGATTTCAAGTATTAACAAGTTAAACAGATATTAAACTGGAATTTGTACCATTATATATTAAAGCTGATAATTCTTTACTCTAATCAAGAATATGGTACCAAATAAAGCTCCAAAGAACATAGAACAGTATAGATCTATCATAATCAAACAAGGAGAAAGAATTTTGTGTAAATGAACTCCTGATACCCCTGAGTGGATTATTTCAATACAAACTTGTTGCATTATGGACGCCAAACGATGTGTAGGACTAAATAGCACGATATCATGGAAAAATAAACAGGCAAATAGAAATGATATTTAAGAAGCCAGATGAAGTACATATAAAGAGCTGACTAACTTAGTAACTTGTTGTAAAAACTGAAGGATCACATATAGCCTTGATCATGAGATGCCTTTGATGATAGTCGAGTTAACTATGGAACTTTACGGAAGGGATTTGAAAAGACCTACATGCGTCAAGCCAGCAAAACTATCCCTTAGTTTACAATGAGTTATTAGACTGGTCACTTATTTTTCCCGAATTATCTCAACAGCAGTGAACAGCGATTGATGGTGTAGCCTACGAGATATGATATACAGTACATCAAAGATACCCATTTCAAAGTGATTTTGCTGTACATAAAATAGCCAATAAATTTTAACTGACACGACTAAACTACCGAATGTAACGCTAAAATGTGGTTTTCGCATAAAGGAAATTCGTAGTTGTTCTGATTCAATGCCAGTTTAGTACAAAATTGGGTACACTGAGTCGCCGTACACCGTGCTTTACAAGCATTGTAATATAGCAGTGCCGAAGATTAACCATGACACTTAGATCGCTTTAGGACTGGGAAGTGTCACTGAGTGAAAAACATTAGGACGAAATGAATATAAACGTCGTGGTCAGTCAGTCAGCTTCAACGAAGAACCAGGCACATATATTCATCGTCCAAGTTGCCATACCGCATTAGCACAACAAGATGAACACCAGATTCATAGAAGTAGTTAATTCAGTAGTGGCGATATATAGAATAAAGACTGCATATAAGGATATATTACAGAAAGAAAGATATGAAGCGATCTTAATCTCATAGTTCAAGGGAAGACAGAGAGTGAATACATTCACGCCACTGTGGTCGATTATGAGCCATGTCACTAAGAGTCTCCAACCATTGGTTACGAAAGTCACGCAGACCCCAACCAAGTAGTCTGCATCTACCAACATGGCTCACACTAGAAGTTAGTGACTTCAGGCACTGATTCCACGTTTTGGTTTGGCCGCTCCTAACTTTCTTTCAATTATCCCTAACACCGGTCAGCATTGCGCGCCGTGGTAATCGGTGTTCAGGAATATGCAACACGTGGCCCAACCATCTCAGTCGATCAAGATTCATTACCTCATCAACTGATTTACCATCATTCCCTAATACTCTACGTCTAACCTCACTATTACTTACCCGGTGATCCCAGCAGATACCCACAATATTTCTAAGGCATCTGTGGTCAAATACTAGTAACTTACGAGTATCTTCTACTCTTAAAGGCCATGTTTCGCAGTCGTAAAGTAGAACGGAACGAACTGCCGAGCAGTAATTGATAGGCGGAGATCTCGCTTCGCCACGGATGACCTAAGTTGGTAAAGGCCAAACGAGCTTTTTGTATCCGTGCTGAGATTTCGTCAGACACCAACCCATTAGGGCTGATCAGACTTCCAAGATAAGTGACGTTGTACAATGATCAAACACAGAGAGTCGTCTAACATCCTCAACTCGGAGAGGCCAGGTTTCACAAGCATAGAGCAAAACTGCTCTCACCGACGCGTTGTAGATCCGACCTTTTACAGCCAGACTAACATCACGAAGGCGCCAAAGATGGCCCAGATTGGCATAAGCCGCTCTGGCTTTCACTATACGTGCATTGATCTCATCACTCACACCACCACCAGCACTTATGCAGCTACCTAGATACACGAACTTTTCGACTACTTCTATCTGCTCACCATCCAGAGTGAGTACAGGATTAGAATCCTGCCAGTCTTGTAGAAGTACTTTGCACTTCGAGGGTGCAAAGCACATACCATACCTACGGACACTGATTGCCAACTGATTAAGTGCGGATTGCATGGCTTGGGCATTCTCGCACAGTAAGACAATATCATCCGCATACTCAAGGTCGAGAAGTGTTTCTCCAGACAACAGATCCACACCACCATTACTTACATCCGTCAGAGCTGTTTCCAGAATGTCATCGATGGCAAAGTTGAAGAGGAATGGTGAGATTGGGCAACCCTGCATAACCCCACTGCTCGAATGGAATAGTGGAGAAAGGTGGTTGTATGCCCTCACTTCGTACTCGAACTGATGTACGTACGTACGAAGTTCAACGTTGTTACTGACTGCCTGAGGTGTTTGTGTATAGGGCTTTTAGGATGTTAATAAACTTCTCAGGCACACCCTTCTTCAATAGACAATCCCAGAGAACAGTTCTGTCCAACGAATCGAAGGCAGCCCTGATATCAAGAAACACTACGATTGTTGGCCTTTGATAAGTATGGCGGTGTTCTAACATTTGGCGGAGGGTGAAGATATGATCAATACATCCTCGACCAGAACGAAACCCAGCTTGCTCCTCACGAGTCAATCTTTCTCGGGTTCTGAACAACCTACGAAGTATGACGGAAGCCAATAGCTTGGACGCAATCGGAAGTAGACTTATCCCCCGATAGTTGTTACAGGAACGACGTGAAACCTTTTTAAAGATAGGGACAACTATCGACTCATTCCATGACGTTGGTACACTCTCTAGTTCCGAGACCTTTGTAAACAACGTCGTCAGTCCCTTAGTCAGAAAGTCACCACCATCTTTAAAAAGAACCGGAGGTAAGTCGTCTGGGCCCGGTGATTTGTAACGTTTCAAGAGTTGGAGTTCCTTGCGGACTTCCGCCTCATTTGGTGGATCAGTCGTCACCAGCCATGGAGGGCAGGACAGTCTGACCGATGTTGCCGGAGCAGCAGGCCAGTTGAACTGCTCTTCAAAGAATTCTGCCCATCGTCCAAGACGTCGATGGATGTTAGTGATTGGCGTTCCGTCATCCTTGCAGATTGTTTCGCTCACACCAGACTTCTTGCTGCCAGTGTCTCGGATGAGTTGGAAGAGCTTCCGGTAATTACCAGATGCAGCTGCTGCTTCCAACTCACTGGCACGCTCCGAACACCAGGCTTCTCGGTCCTTACGCAAGCTTTGCCCGATTTCATTACGTAACATCCTTCGTCTGTGGTCAAACTCACGGTCACCCGGAGTAGACCGACGGGCTTCAATCAGTTGTAAGGAACCAGAAGAAACCCAGTGCTTGTAAGCGGGACGTTTCGCAAACCCACAACAGACTGTACCCGCCATTTTCATGGCGTCATGCAATTGCAACCAATGCTCATCTATACTTTTCGGTGTAATGATAGCTAGCCTAGAAGCTAGCTCGGTTCGGTACTTACTATCAACAGAAGTTGCAGCCAGCTTGCTAATATCAATCCTTTGGTGGCAGTCACTTCGTTGTCCACTGAAAGGTAAGGTAAGATTGGCGCAGACCAGAGCATGATCAGATTCCAGATAGGTACTCCAAAAGGAGCGGCAGTCTTGTACACAACCACGCCAGCGGTAGCTGATCGAGATGTGATCAATCTGAGTCCAGGCTTGAGATGTAGAAGGGGGACGCCAGGTGGCACATCGGCGATGACTGTGCCGAAAGTTAGTGCTAGCCAGAAACAGGTTGTGGTCTGTGCATAGTTGCAGTAGACGTTCCCCGTTATCTGTCCTGCGACCAACAAGTCCCCATCGGCCACCTAAACGACTCTCTTCTGTGCCTAGACGCCCGACCTGAGCATTCAAGTCTCCAGCTAGTACTACAATATCTGTCGAACGCACTTTCTGGAGAAGAACAGTTAGCTGATGGTAGAACTCGTCCTTGATTGCATCCGGACTGCAATCTGTCGGGGCATAGGCGGAGATGACGAAAAGACATCGTTTCTCACGCCGATTTCTTCTCACTTTGATGGAACTTTCTAATCTAACAGCACATAACCGACTGTTAATGGGGATCCAGTCGACTAGTGCTGCCTCAGCTCTTGCGCTTAGTGCGACACCAACGCCAGCAAGACCAGACGAAGATGCCACAGGGTCCCCGGATAAACGCACATAAAACAAGCTTTTTGAAGTGACAGATGGAGAGCGAACTTGTAGTACTTCACCAGAGTCTTGAATACGGGTCTCGGATAGACAACACACATCAATATTAAGACTTTCCAAAGACATAGCCAGCCCTATCTGTTGTCCGACCTACATAAGTGTGCGAACGTTGAAGGCAGCCAGTTTGAATGGTGCACGTGGTTTCAGAAAAACTGCTTCAGTACTCTTGTTCGATGGTAACATACAATTTTCAACCAGGTAGTGACTCGAGAACGTTTAGATAAAGCTGAATTTTCACCATAGGCGAGCTGTTGTCTGAGTCGAAACGGATACAAAAAGTAGAAATAGGAGATAGTGAATAAATGACGTAGTAAATAATAATAATAATAATAATAATAATAATAATAATAATAATAATAATAATAATAATAATAATAATAATAATAATAATAATACCAGTCAATTCAATGTTAGTCGGAGAGAAACGAATATTTTCTATAAGCAGATAGTTCATCATAGTTTTAGTGTGTGGGCTGAGATACTGCCCGGGCGCCCAGACCGAAGCAGGTGGTTTTCTTAGGGGGCCACACCCCGAGCCTTTGACCTAAAGGTCTAGTCCACAAGGCAGTGGAGCATCGTGAGGAGATGCAGTCCCATGGAAGCCGGTGACCAAAAGTTGGTTCATACGCCATTTGTTCCCGCAGGATACTGGAGCCCATGTGCACCATAGAATTGGGATCCGGTTATAGCGCCGGACATTCGCTTTTCGTCCTCTCATTTTCGTAAACAACACCCCCGCCACGAGAAGGCAGTGGGTAGGACTTCCCTGGCAGAGGCTGTATACGCGTGGCCGTGTGAGAGTATTTCGAGAGGGAGGGCGAACCCTCCCCGCTCTCAGCCATACCAGGGCATTTGGGGGGCCGAATTGAGGAGTGCCTGCGAAATAATATATATATATATATATATATATATATATATGGCCGAGAGTGGGGAGAGTCCACTCACCCTCTCGAAATGCTCTCACATGGCCACGCGTATGTAGCCTCTGCCAGGGAGGTCCTACTCACTGCACTACCCTCTCGTGGAATTACTGTTTACGAAAATGAGAGGACGAAAAGCGAATGTCCGGCTTTTTAACCGGATCCCAAACCAATGGTGCACATGGGCTACAGTATCCTGAAGGAAGAAATGGCGTATGAACCAATCGTTGGTAACCGGTTACCATGAGCCTAATAGTATATTGAGGGATATAATACTGAGGAATTGATGAATAGGTTTGTACTAACAGTAGCAGGTTGGAAAAAACCAAAGTAACTCCGCTTCAAACGCAGTCAACAAAATAGACAAATTTTGTGATCTGAGCTTGACGGATTACAACTACATTTCAAATAATTACTCAAAGTATTTCATCATAGCCAATTCTTGACATAAGTTTAGTAACCAAGACCCTTATCTTCTCCCTGTTAAATAGAAATAATAAACTTTTATTTTGTGCCGCAAACGACTGTGATCGTTTCCAGCAACACCATCGCGATGCTGACTAGAACAAGTTATGTCGAAAAAAGACGATTGATGTTACACTTGTTAATGTAATTGGGAACCATAATTCACAACCAAACAGTTTGGTTTTAGAGGGACATAGTGACTGACCGATACGCTGTTATAAACTTGTCTAGACACTCTTGCCATTGTAAAAACTTACTTAAAAACATGTCAGCTGGTGTCAACTTAGTATATGACGCATGTGGCTACAAAGTCAATATGTTTGCTTTGTTAGCAATAAAAACAGAAGGAATACTACTTTAAATAGCTTGGAAGAGGGGTTAATGGAATAACTACACAAACTTGACTGTAACACCGATCTCGCTTTTCAATGACTTCCATTACTCGACACTAACCAGCAGAATGCATAACATGGAATATTATCATGTTACAATGCTCGTCTAAGTCAATCGTTAGGTGCAGTTTGAACTGGTATAGACAAGTGGGGACTTCGCTGGCATAATTAGACCGACTTAAGCACAACTTTACCCCGTGTGAATTTATGATTCTTGGTCCAAGTTGACAGTGATGACTATAAACGAAACTAAAAGCTGTGAAGCCCTACTGACTTAAAAAACCAACGACAATATTCGGAAAATATGATACACTACGTTTCTTTGCATTCTCTTTAGTTGCAAACAAGTTAATATGAGTGAGTTGACCTCAAATCCAATTTTTCACTAAACTTCCGAAAGTATGGTTAGAGCAACAGAATCCCCCAAACATTCTAGGTTCACTACCCTAAGCAGTTAAAATAAGGAACCCACCTTTAAAATGTTAGCTTCTTTAATACTACAGATAATTTGGACTTAATGGGTTAAAATTGAGATTGTTCTTAATTAAAATAATTAGACACAGTTTGTGCGTAGACGAGGAGAAAGTGATAAGATACAACGAACTCATTATGTTTTGTAAGCTTATTTCGTTTTAATGGCGAGACAATTTATAAACTGGTTAGATTTTAGAACTTGAATTTGTACGAGAAATTCATCCATTTACTCGGCTAAATACTATTTTAGTATTATAGCTGATATCAGTTCGCGATGGAAATATGAAATCGAATTCCTAACCCTAACGTTTAACTTCAAATCCCAGTCCTAATCCCTCACGTTAATATAAACCCCCTACATAACCGTAGCAAGATGGATATCTCAAGGTCATTACTCAAAGACTGTCCATAAATTATAGTCTCACCTAGGAACCCGTACGTGACGAATCAGTACCATGAAGAGCATGCTTAGTATACGGGAGGAAGCATATTTAACGCTTGTTTTGTGCTTGACAATCAGGAATTTCTAAGGAAGTAGAGTAGACTAAAACGAGTTTAATTTAACAATGTGCAAAGATATCAGAATGTAGTTTTTATGTTTAACAAAATTCGTCTTTAGATTTTTATATTTAAAAAATACTATACTATAACTAATGAAGTTTTAAGAGTTGCAAACTAACCGGAGTTCAGCAGCAGATATGAATCCATTTCCATCTTTGTCAAAAACGCGGAATGCCTCACGTATCTCTTCTTCACTGTCTGTATCCTTCATCTTCCTGGCCATCATTGTTAAGAACTCAGGGAAGTCAATTGTGCCATTACCTTAATTTGCTTGTGAATCAACTAATGTGGCCTTACCATCAGCGTCTACCTCATTGATCATATCTTGCAGTTCAGCCTCTGTAGGATTCTGCCCCAAAGAGCGCATGACTGTACCTAATTCTTTGGTGGTGATTGTACCATCACCATCTTTATCAAACAAGGAAAAAGCTTCTTTAAACTCAGCTATCTGTTCCTCTGTTAATTGGTCGGCCTGGTGTGGAAGTTATGCAAAAGAAACACAGGAACCTACCATTCTCTAGGATATGAGTGCACAACCTTGAACCAAACAAGCACGATAACCCGTAACAAGACCGTTCGTGATTGACTAAGAATTTAAACACAAGGTAAGACACAAAGGCTATTGAAATCAATGTAGCCTATGGTAAATAAATAAACAAACTTTTATTTTTATTAGAATTAAGAAGTAAATGTGTACTAATCAGTCTTACTGTGCCGCGCAATACGAAATGTGGATGTGATTTTCAAACTCGTTTATGAACTACTTTTATGTTTGAGCGCGAACGTCAGTGAATTAGTTTGTTGTGGTTCTGATCACGCTAGATTTTTTCTGGTTGCGGCTTAAATGTTTATTCATAACTGACCATAATGGTTGGCTGGCTATTGTTTCTTACCTTAATTTCACAACAATATGTTTCTTGGTTCTTTTATTCCTTTCTACTATAAACTTCTTAGAACTATGTTAGGTATCATCTACGAATGACGTCAGCTATGTCACTGTTTCAGAAACCACATCATGTCTGTGAGAGCTATGTTGACAAGTAAATTCAATAATATTCATAACCATAAGTGAAAGACAATATCTTTTTCCTTCCTCTAAACCTAATGTGTGTAATCAAGTTTACATTGAATGACACAGATCTGCTTGAGAAGCTAGGCTTATTTCCTCTTTCCTACTTCAAGATAAATAGTGGCCTGTTTTTCATGTGTAACAGTAAAAAAAATAGTTGGGTTCTGTATATTTTCGACGTTGATGTTGATCACATTAGCTTCAGTGGACACATCTAGCTGGTGGTGCCCTGTCACGCATCTGCATCAGATCACGAGTGGGTGTGCCGTGATATTCATATCTTGAACTGCTAGACAGCTTAGAATGGACGCTTTCCAAATATAACTTTGAACTCCTTCATTTCTAACTTTTGATTTGACTGGGTTGCTATTCTTCGATTATAAAGGTGTTACGAGTAAAGATGTTTCCTAACTCCGAATACCTTTGTCATCTTCACATGTTTAAAATAAGAAGAAATGATTTTGGAACTGCAATGTCATCGCTTTCTCTTCTTACCAGATCACGCGATTTAAGAGTATATGAGGCAAGTGCAAAATCCACTAAGAAATGAAATCCTCAAAGCATATCAGTTTACACACCGAGTCGTTAACTCACAGAACCTGTTACTCAAAGATGTGGTCTCCACATGACATGTTCAAGAAAAGATTAGACACAGTTAAAAGCTTACTAACGTAATGAACGTAAACACAATAGGGACAATCGAATGTATTTAAACAAAAAACTACAGAACATTTTATTAAAATCTGTGAACCATACAATAAATTCTTCATTTGCGAAATATCAGTCAATATTCGAAAACTTCATTGTTCTTTCGTTTTCACACCGAACATCATCTGTTCTCGTTCTCCTCCCTTCTATCTTCTTAACCTTCTGCCGCCAAACATTTTACTTTTGTTTGACGCTGCAGACTGCTTATATCTGTCAATATTTATAGCACAAACCACACTAAGAAGTGAAAAATTCTGGTTTTGGGAATCTGAACCAATCGTTTATTGATATTATTGCATAAGAAAAAGAGAAATCAGCGAAGAAAATTTTCTTTTCGACGAAATCATTTACTCATTTACTATATATACATTCGTATATATAGTTATATGGAAAATTTATGTCTATTGGAGGAGAGAAAAAATTGCATCACTAAAATGGATTCGAGGAAAATAACAAATGGGGTTACGTACTAATCAAGGGGTAAGGAAGAAAATCGTTTATAGGTCTGATAATAGTCCAATTGATAAATATGAAGAAAGGCGACAAACACAAAGATCATAATAATAAACTGAATAATAATCATGAAAACTTGGATAAGGTAATGATAATAATAACTGATTAGAGTTTAAAATGCAAAATAGTCATTTTAAGAAATTCGATAATAATCAAATAAAAGTGAAGAAAAAAACAGAAACATACCCATTAAGGGAATTAGGGCCAAGGAAGAATGAGAGGTTGGACAAATCGTTTCTGCACGCAAAGTTCGGGCTTGAGTTCGTGAATCGCCAGTGCCGAACAAAGCGATCGCTGTCCAAACGCATCTCAGACCACTATCCGGCTTGGCTTTTAGAAGGAGACTGTAAGACAATCACTAGTTCTATACAAGAGCATTTAATCAATTTAGGACACACCGCTCCCAAGTATTCTTCCTTTAAAGTGATCTACAGAGTCAAAGGAATTGGATCGAAGGGGTGTCGAATCAATATATTATGCACTGCTGAGGCACTGGCAATTCACGAACTCAAGCCCGAACTTTGCGTGCAGAAACGATTTGTCCAATCTTATCCATGTTTTCATGATTATTATTCAGTTTATTATTATGATCTTTGTGTTTGTCGCTGAATTCTCTTTTTCTTATTCAATGACACTATAGGTTATTTTAATTATTGATATCAATTGTGAACAAAAAATAATAATTGGTTGAATAATACTCACGTTGCAGCCGGATGTTTGAATAAATACTACCTACGTCATCCCTGTTTTTGCCTTATTGGCATCGGTTTGTTGTTTCATATTACAATTATGTCGTATTACTTTTTTAAACCACTCCATACCATGTGAGGTTATTAGTCCATATTATTTTCCGATGATTCTATTAGCTTTACATTTCACTTCACGCCGTCTCTATTAACTGTGCGATCAAATATTCTTCGGTCTCTATTTATGGTGGTTTCTCCAGAAGGAACTTCCAGGTGCCATTGGTTACATAATTGTTATTAATGTTCTTTATTCCGTCTATAGTCACTTCCGTTTATAGTATATATATTCATCTAGGTATATTATTATTTGCCACGCATACAGTTATATTTTGACTACGTTTCTCCATAGATGAAAATCAATCTTTGGCACATGCATTCCATTCATCACTGGTTATGGGAAACAGGAAATATGATATATAGGTTATGTGCTGAAGTGAATAAATGAGAATTCATGATTCCGTCCTCTCAGCTGTAGACTACGTTAGCTTATTCTCAAGAGTTTACAATCTGCTGGTTGTTGCTTGCATCTTAGAGAAAAATCCTAATAACATAAAATGGATTAAAGGGAAGTCAATGAATTTCGTTTGAAAATTGTTCGAACGCTTTAAACGTTGAATAAGAACTTTCGTCTAAATTTGAACGAATAGTTTCACAATATTTGGGCGCCGAGTTAATGTGAGTCATTAAAGAAAAAAATGTATTTGTAAAATCTCAGCGAATGAATTTTAAGTAAATCCAACGTTTCGCCTGGCAATCTGGTCCAACCTTTTTCAAGGAAAATATAATCAAACAACAAAATTATCGAATATAAATAGGTACATGGTTCTCTGGTTTACTGTATACTGAATAAGTCATCCAATCAACGTGAACAATGTTTAAAGTAGGTATTTACATTACTGTGTAAGAGACTTGTGTTATGAAAAACGAAAAGTGTTAAGATAACAGATTGTGTGTTTACGTAAGTGATGTGTGAAGAAATTTCACTCAAATATATGTTGTCTTCGGTATGTGTATATTAAGAAAACATATCATTTTATATATGATATGAATCAAAATGTCACAGCATGCATTAAATGACGATAAATAAACAAGATAAGTAAACAAGATAACAGACTGAATTCAAAGAGGAATGTATTTGTAATTGAAAGTTTGTGTTATTTCAGTGTTCCCATCAATTGTTTAACATAATCAGATACAATAACTGAGTTGAAACCGTTAAATGTATTATCTATTGATTAGTTCATCAATAGATAGAATGTAATAAGGAGTTCAGGTTTACTTATTAATTATTAGTTGCCATGGGACAGCTAATTGTATTCCATCTCTCCTATTAATACTGTTTGAATTAGCCCATATATGTAGGGCTTCGGCTGTTAGTCGTTCTTTGTAAGAGTTAAAGCCTTTTTGAATGATTCGTGCGCCATTAAAGTCAATTATATGACCCGATTCAATCGAATGTAGTGCTATTGCTGATTTGTTCTCAAGTCTTATCACATCATCTGAGGATTTAGGAATGTGCTTTAAGCACAGTTTGTGTTCCTTCACCCTCACATTCAATTGCCTTGATGTTTCACCTACACACGTTGCCTTGCAATCATCACATTTGATTTCATACACACAATTCTGTTGTTCATCCTTGAGTATTGGACCTTTGATTCGTACTAGTTTTGATCTCAGAGTATTGATTGTTCGAAAAAATACTCATATATTTTGAAGAGTTAGAATCCTTCTGATCTCTTCTGAAATACCTTAACACTTTTCGTTTTTCATAACACAAGTCTCTTACACAGTAATGTAAATACCTACTTTAAACATTGTTCACGTTGATTGGATGACTTATTCAGTATACAGTAAACCAGAGAACCATGTACCTATTTATATTCGATAATTTTGTTGTTTGATTATATTTTCCTTGAAAAAGGTTGGACCAGATTGCCAGGCGAAACGTTGGATTTACTTAAAATTCATTCGCTGAGATTTTACAAATACATTTTTTCTCTTTAATGACTCACATTAACTCGGCGCCCAAATATTGTGAAACTATTCGTTCAAATTTAGACGAAAGTTCTTATTTATTATTCTGCAATCGCATCAAATTATCGAAGAAAATGTACAATTGGTATAACCACCGAATTTTTAATCTACGATGTTTGCATCATCATGTTTATCCAAAAACGTTAAGAGTCAAGACTCCAGACAATTCTATACGTTCACAAAAAGCAGCTGTTACAGCTACAAGAGTATTCCTTAGAGAACGTATTCATAAATCCACTTTAAACTTGGAATCTCTACGTTCACGTATTGCAAATATTGATAGTACTTTATCACTAATCATACCACCAGAACTAAAAACATATGTTAATGAATTTTTTAAACATAGAGATAACTTTTATGATCAAATTACAAAAAGACGTCAAATAAGAAAATTTGAACAAATGTTTAAACATTTGCCAAAATCAAACAATGACGAGATTAGAA